CAGGAGCGGGAACGAGTACAGCTTGAAACCAAACGACGCGAGTTGGAGATGCAACGCGAACATGACAAGCAACAAGCGACTCTGGCTCTAGAGTGTCGTCAACGTGAAATCGCCTTGGAAACTTCCCACTTCACTCAACGCCAACAAGCTACTGCCAATCTTCCCGTCAGTTTTAATATATCACATGCAAGTAAGTTAATGCCATCCTTTGTAGAAGCAGAAGTTGATGTTTTTTTCACCACCTTTGAAACCCTTGCTAATCAACTCAGTTGGCCTGTCGACCAATGGGCCACACTTCTCAGAGTCCATCTTACAGGTAGAGCTGCAGTCACACTCAGTACTTTGGCGTCTGAGAATGACTACTACACTCTGAAACAAGCAGTGTTGGACGCCTACCTCCTCTCTACTGAAAGTTATAGAAGGAAATTCCGTGACCACCTGAAGGCAAGTACCACTACCTTCCTCGAGTTTGCTAACACGAAACGGAGGTATTTCATGAAATGGCTGGAAGCAGCACATGTCTCTACTTTTACAGAACTCGTCAACCTGATGCTTGTTGAAGAATTCTTGAGACGTGTGCCGCCTCCTGTCCGCCTCTACTTAGCAGATAAAGAAGAAACCGACTACCTGAAGTGTGCTAAGTCGGCTGACACTTGCAGCCTCATCCACCGGCTGACACCTGAACCATCCTCCAGTAAGAAGTCGTGGTACAGTTACGAGAAGGTGAGCCCCGATCAAGCTGGTTCACAACTGTACTGCAAGTATTGTAGACTCTATGGACATACCATAGACAAGTGTGGTAAGTCTCAATACAAGGGAACCACTGACCAACAACGACCCAAACCAACTCCTCCTAAGTCCGGTAAGCCTGTGATGAATGTTGGTGTTGATGTTAATGATCTTTCTCTTTTCAGTAACCACCTGTATACTGGAACTGTCTCTGCCAACGGTTCAAATCCGGAGGGACGTTTCAAATTGAAGATCTTGAGGGACACAGCGGCTCTACAATCGATCATCTTGAAGTCGGCTGTGCCCAACATAGTCTACACCGGGGAAACGGTCTTCATCACTGACCTCACTGCTACTACTCCATACCCTCTCGCCAGAGTCCACCTGGATTGTCCCTACGTGAACGGGGAAGTCCAAGTCGCCGTCAGGGAAAAGCCTTTTCCCATGCCTGGAGTACAACTTCTCCTAGGCAACGACTTGGCAGAAGACCTGCAACCGACCAACCTGATCGTCATGGACAAACCCCAGGTGTGTAACTCTGTGCCAATAAATCCTATTCTAGAGTATGTTCCAGCAGAGGTTCAAGAGAGTGATGAAGTTTCTCCTCCGGTTCTCGTGACCACCCGTGCACAAGCCGCACGTCCACAGCCAGCTGACTCTACTGCCACCGCTGTCCCTCAAGACCCTCAGAAACTACCCCCGCATCTGACCAAGTTGGAGTTCCGTAAGTTGCAGAGGGAAGATCTTACTTTAACACCATTGTTTTTCCAGGCTGAGACTCAACCCGACAGTATTCCTGGGTTCTTCCTAGAGAACGACTTGCTCTACCGCAGATATAGACCCAGTAAACTGAAGGAGGAGGACGATTGGGCCAACACCGAACAACTTGTGATTCCCACCAGCCTGCGGCCCACTATTCTACACCTGGCCCATGGAGCATTCTCCCACTACGGCTTCAACAAGACTTACCATGGGATTCGTCAAGACTACTACTGGCCAGGTATGGTAAACAACGTCAAACAGTACGTAAAACAGTGTCATACATGTCAGATGGCAGGCAAACCGAACGTCTCCATTCCCAGAGCACCACTGATTCCCATACAGGTGCCTGCGGAACCTTTCCACAGACTCATAATAGACTGTGTTGGTCCTTTACCTCGGACCAGTTCAGGTAACGCCTACATCCTAACCATCCTGTGTCCTACCACCAGATTTCCCATAGCAGTTCCAGTGAAGAACATCACGGCTGCTACGGTTATCAAACATCTATTGAAGATCTTCACTCAATACGGATTTCCCAGGGAGATTCAAAGTGACTGTGGCACCAACTTCACCAGTGATCTCTTCAAAAGGACACTGGAGGAGTTCAACATCAAACAGGTATTGTCCAGCCCCTATCATCCTGCTTCACAGGGTTCTCTTGAACGTAGTCATCAGACCATCAAAGCACTCTTGAAAAAGTTTTGTAGTGAAACCTCAAAGGATTGGGATAAGCAGATTGACCTAATAATGTGTATTTTCAGAAGTCTCCCCAATGAGTCCCTAGGAGTATCTCCTTATGAGATGCTCTACGGCCGTAAGTGCCGTACTCCCCTTAAGGCTTTCAAAGACTCTCTCAGAGATGCCACCTTCAGTGAGCATCAGAATGTGCCCCAGTTTCTTCAAAACCTTCAGCACATTCTAGAGAGAGTCCACCGCTTTGCCCATGATAATCTATTGAAAGCCCAGGTGAGAATGAAGACTCATTACGACCAGACCAGCAAAGTAAGAAAATTCAAGCCGGGAGACTTCGTCCTTGCTTATTTCCCTATCCCAGGTTCACCTTTACAAAACAAATTTTCAGGACCCTACTGCGTCAAAGAGTGCAGGAATAATAATAATTATGTGATAGAGACTCCAGATAGGCGGCGGAAGACCCAGCTGTGCCACGTCAACCTCCTGAAGCAATATAATGGTACTCCTCCCACTGTCTTGATTAATTGTTCTACCTTCACAGAACCCTACATCCACAGTGAGACCATCCCGGCTTCTTCTCCCGAAAGCACTGACAAGGAGTCGGCGCTTTCTAATTCCAAAATCCTTAATGATCTTCCCAAATGCTTTCAGGATAATACTCGTGCTCCTATGCCCTCTTCTAATTCCACTCTCACCTCGTCAGATAAGCCCTACATCCTCCATGTCGACGCCAATGGTACCGACGATGGTGGTGTCGTGATGCAGCAACGAGGCGAGAAGAATACACCTGTCAGCGACTACTGCTACAAGGAACGACGGAACAATTGGCAAGGAGCTACTCTTCCTCATCCTGAAGCTTCAGCACTTCACTCCACACCTGAAAAGTGCTCGGTCCACCATCAACACGGACCACACCACCCTACACCTCCTGCAGCACGCCCACTTCTCATCTCAACGTCTTCTACTATGGGCTTGCTACCTGCAGAAATTCAACCTGGAGACACGCTATACCAAGAGTCTGACAACATCTTAGCCCATGATCTCTCCAGAGTTTATGAAGTAGAAGCGACTCCATCCATTACTCCACCACATAACGACGTACTTCTTCCAGAACCGCAGGCTTCGGGGGAGAGTTGTGACAATAATCTCCTTCAAGAGATTGAGCCTGCTCTTCCCTTCATAATTACGTCGTCACAATTATATAAAAGACTATGGAAGAAATGTCAAACAACGACAACAACACCAGCACCAGCAAGGCTTGCCAGGGTGAGCAGAAACGTATGCATCCAGCCACCTGTTCGAACTCCAACCACCAAACTACCCGTTGATCGCTACGGCTCCGCTGATTGGTCGCCGGTCTGGCTGCACCTGCACTCGCCCCCAATACTACCTGATGTCTGGGGTCGCCCCAACATCAGTCCTCAGAATGTTCCGTGCTTTCGTAGCCAGCACTCCTCCCAGCTAGACGTTAGCGTGTACTGAGAGAGGTGGTGGCTTTAAGCCAATATTCCAGCACCTCCCACTTAACTTTTGTGTTGCACTTCTTATTATTTTGCCTTAACGTAACTTTCATTGTGTCATTTAAGTATTCTTATTATTTTGATTCATTGATTTTATTATACATATTTGTTTGTGCATTATTTTCATGTTTTGATTTATTTAACGTAATTAAAATTTCATTGTTAAAGTTTTACTTGTGTTTTGTGTGTCTTCTCCTTACCTTACCACAGACGAAGTTCCAGTTTTTCTATTTTTTTTTTATAACTATGTGACGAGACCATACCCCTAGCCTTAAACAGCCGAACACCAACGCGTTACCGTCACAATATATATATATGTAATGTAAAAGTTGTTAAGTAAGCTGTCCGTGAAAGTCATTGAGGCCTGGCAGGTGCTGACCTTTCAGAGGGCTGTAATGAAAATACTACCAGCGGGAAAATCCATGAAATAAATTTACAAAGTTATCCCGAAGTAATTTTCAACTCTTCTTGAGCAAAGCCTCGGGTTTCCAGCCTGGCTCAGGCTGGCTGACTCTTATTGCCTGGCCTCGAGTACTTCCTGCCCTCATCTGCGGTTCCTGCTTCCTTTCTCTTCCTCTCGGGGAACCTGGATACATTTTTGTTGAACCAAAAGACTATTTTTTTAATTGAGTTTACCATGCTTAAATCTCTTAGATGATTATAAATGTTATTTAAACAATGATTTTTTACTATTGGGTAATGACTATAATTATTTTTTCTTGAATTTGATTAAGGTTTCTCTCTAGTATATTTTATTGTTTGAAATTGTTGATGTAGTTTGCTGTGTACTCTAAGTGGTCTAACTTTTCAGTCAACGTCATTTATTTGAGAAGTTTAAGAGGACGAATATTTGTTTGAGAAGAAATATTAAAACGACAAATTTCAGGAATTAATGAATTTTGTTTTATAGAAAACATATTCCGTCTTTGTTTCATGAAGCTGTGTGTTACTCCATATGATGACTCCTGATTGTATGGCTCCTCTCTCTCTCTCTCTCTCTCTCCTCCTCTTTCTCTTCCTCCTCCTGAGACTCTTCCTCTTTCACTTCAGTCATGTCCCTCTACCACCTCCCTTTCTCTTCTTAAGCACTTACCTTCCCTTAATTATTCGTATCCACAAAATTTACCATTTCTGTTTAATTTTCTCTTTAGGTACTTCCCCTTCATTACCCTCCCTCTCCACCCCTCTCTGTTTCCACCACCAACCCTCTCCACCACCCTCCGTCTCCCCCATCTTCCCACTCCACCACCCAACTCATCACACTAAGCGAATAAACACCGATCCCTTTTCCGGCAGATCTCAGCCCAGCACACCCGAATAGTGATGCCAGAGGCCAGGTTGCGGAGCTCTGGGCTGGGGCTCGGGCACAGCGTGCTGGACGGGCTGAGGGGAGGGCTCACCCAGACCTCACAACTCACCCTGGTGCTCAGGTCCACCCACTTCAGCCCTGGGGGTCAGGCCACCCTCACTTGCGTCGCCACCGTGCCGGATGTGTACCACAAGTGAGTATATAACCACACTACCACAGGGGAGCTCTGTCACACTACCACAAGAGAGCTCTGTTACACTACCACAGGGGAGCTCTGTTACACTACCACACTACCACAGGAGAGCTCTGTCACACTACCACAAGAGAGCTCTGCCACACTACCACAGGAGAGCCCCTACCACACTACCACATGAGAGCTCTGCCAGTGGAGATCTTTATTACAATGAAGCTCCACTGGAATAGCGCTCTACCACAATAGAACCTTACCACACCTTGCTAACGCAAGTGAACTCTCACTTAACTCACAGGAAAAAACTCTACCATTCTATGACACTTAGACTATCACGCTACCACAAGCAGACTCTAAGATGGTATTACATGTAAACTCCACCCAGATATCATACTGAAAACAACTGGCATAACAAATGGGCTCCAGTTAGCACCGCTCTTGTGTTAGGTAAGTTACGGGCTCACCATAGCCCGTGCTACTTGAAACTTGATCCGAGTAGCTGAATCTATAACAACAACATCCCATTCAAAAGAATAGAACGTAAATAAACATTTCCCAAATAACGCAGCAATCCCTTTTACCCTTATTTCAATCAATGTTAGCTTGGTTTCTAGTCTTAGGTTCAGTATTTTAGTCCATTTGGGAGCTCCTGTTATGACTCGCTTTGCATCGTTTTGAATAACCTCAACCCTGTGTAGCTGATTAAGAGAAACTCCTGTGTCAATTAGACTCACCTCCCCGTCTCTCTGTGTGTCTCCCGCAGGACGACGGAGGAGTACCTCGCTCTGCCAGGCTTCAAGACGGCAGCTCCTTCCCAGAAGCTGTATGGGTCGGCCCGGCGACATGGAGGAAGGGCATCGCAGCTGATGGCTGCTGCCTTCTCTTTATCACTGCTGCTTCTCTTGTAGGTCACCTGGCACAGGGTTGGGCGGGTCTCTTCTGTCGTGTAACAGCAGCAGCAGCAGCAGCAGCAGCTTTAGTAGAGGAAGCTAGATGTGGAGCAAACGTACCAGCTGCAGCAGGAACAGCTGTACATGCATAGACGGCTGGGGCCAGAAACAGCTGCAGCAGCTGCTGACACGAGATCAATGTTCCGTCTCTAGGAACCGTGTAATTAATGGAACTGTGTGTGTAAATACTAATATATAATGAATGAACGTGTATAGGAAACCAGTGGTCACATCTCCGCAAAAAAAAACATCAACTCTGCAACGTATTTGTCGCTAACAAACACACCCAGGATTTATTTTGTTCAAGTTTTTGGTGGAATGAACATCCGGATGTTATTGATAATGGTAATTACAAGTTGATGTACATAAACACTGAGTAATCTTTCATGTCTTGTTCGAGTGTAAGAAAAAAACAAAGCAAAAAAATAAAAAATATATATATATATATAGTACACTTATATGTAAATACCGTTTGGAATATCGCCTATGGAGTGAATTCAGGGTTTTAGGCTATAAGTTATCTATTATATATTTATGTATATATATAATTATATTAATATAATTATATATATAATAAATAATATTATATATATATATATATATATATATATATATATATATAAATATATATAAATATATATATATATATATATATATATATATATATATATATATATATATATATATATATATATATATATATATATATATATATATATATATATATATATATATATATCACGTGAACTCTAACTCGTGACGTCATCACCATCATCATTATCAACGTCATCACTATTATGAGAAAATTGATATTCAATTTAACAATATAACTATAAACTAGTATGTGTCTGGGTTCAAGGTGTCTAGGCCTACAGGTAACGTTAATTAAATTATGAATAAGGAATTGATGGCAAAATGTTATGTTTTAAAATACTCTAAAGAATGATATATATATATATATATATATATATATATATATATATATATATATATATATATATATATATATATATATATATATATATATATATATATATATATATATATATATATATATATACATATATAATGTGTATATGTGTGCGTGTGTGAGTATGTGTGTGTGCGCGCGCATGATTTCAACTCCCGCCTCACGTAATACAAGATATTTAGTAAAGATGAGATTTTCTCATATCAAGATGAGAAAATGAACAACATCTTCCTTGAGAACATCCACCACAATACACCATCCTTTCGCAACATATTCCAAAAACATATTTTAGAACTTGTATTATGGGTCTTTTTTTTCTTTTTAGTGTATGCGTGTGTGTGTGTGTGTGTGTTTGTATTTGTGTATGTGAGCATATTTGTTTCGAGAGAAGTTTTACAGATTTGCCGTCGAGAAAGTCTTCCTTAACTCTAAAACAATAATAAGTAGTGGTATTTTGCACCAACTAAAAGGAACGATAGGTGGTGATAGAATGTTTGTAAAGATAGCAGCAAGTGATAATGCGAGAGCCACACTGTTAACGAACAAGCCACACTGCGTTAACGAATGATCCACGCTGTATTAACGAGCAAGGCGGTCTGTCCAATGGGTAAAATGGCTTCGCTCTCTCTTTTGTAAATAATTTTTCGCTTCACACAATAACCGCGAAGCAGGAAGTGCGTTGAAACTTGGCAATTATGGCTCATAAAGTCAAATCTTAACTAAGGCACAGCCATATTTTTTTACGCACGTCTGCAGGTGGTAAACTTGATCAGCAGATCGTAAGATATGTGTTATCTTGGACACTTTTTTGACAACATTTATAAACAAGTTTAGTCAAATCTGAGTAATTTACAGACACGGGACAAAGAGGTTGAGGCTCATATTCACTGCCACACAGGACCATGATGCTACTTATATTCCTTGCCACACAAGACAGTGAGGATGCTGCTCATATTCACTTCCACACAGGACAGTCAAGATGCTGTTCATATTCACTGCCACACAGGACTATGATGCTACATATATTCACTGCCACACAGGACCATGATGCAACTTTTATTCCTTGCCACACAAGACAGTGAGGATGCTGCTCATATTCACTACCACACTACCACACTCTTTCTCCTTCTCACTTCCATTGCTACTATCCTTTTTCCTCCCTCTCCTCACCTCTCTGCCAATTTCCTTCCTCCCATCCCCTCTATCATAACTTCCAATAACGACCTGGTCTCCACTACGAGAGACATTGTCAGCTCTCAGACCTACGGTTTCTACGACCAGGTTGCCCGAGTGTGTTGGATTGGGGGTCTGGACTGCGTTGCCTACAAGACGAACTCACAATGTTGAAGGAAGATTTTAAGTGTGATGGAGGTGCTTGGTGAGATGATGGGAGAGCTTTTAATATTATGCTGAGAGTGTTTTGGAGAAGGTTTCGTGGGAGGGGAAGAGGTTTATTATGGTGATGGAGGGATTATGTTAAAGATACCTAAGGTGATTGGATGGTGTTTATTTGATAATTTGATGGGTGAAGGAGAAGAGGATAGTGGGGGAGATGGTATTAAGGGTCACTGAGATGCTGGAGAGTTCTACTTGGAGAAAAGGAATGCAGTAGAATCAGGACTTGTAATTAGACGTGTTTATGTCTACGTGTTAACGCCGGAAGAGGATGGTGGTTCAGCCACCTTATGGCTCATTGAGCCAGAGGGGGACTGGACGAATGGGAGAGAGTGTTGGAGAGTCAGAGGGATGGACTGAGAGTACGTATGTGTCAGTACTTGTTGGACGGACTGTCCGAGAGCCTCACTTTTGGCCCTGAAGTGGCGGAGGGAGAGTTTGAGAGCCTTTCGAAGTAACCGATGATTATTGCGAGACTATTGAAGAGCATGACTGATTGGCTGAGGGCAGTAAAGGGTCTATTAGACAGCCTGAGTGATCTGCTAATGACAGTGAAGGGACTGTTCAGGAGAGTCTAGAAGTGGTGGAGTGACCACGGGAGCAGCCAGTTATTTCAATATATTTTTTTGGGGGCAAACGTAAGTGTACTTTTGTTTGGAATGAGGCCTCAGCCTTAGTATTATGATGGAGAATTGGGGTGAGCTTATCCAATGAGAGACTATAGGTTCCAAAAGACATATCTGTTTTCATTGGCTTTCTCCGTAGCCCCGGAGCTGAACACGAGGGACAACCTTAGCCCGCTTGACTATTAGGTCAATCAGGTTGATTGATGCTTACCTAATGAAATGTCAGCCTTGCCGTTGTACGCCGTGTGCTTGTGACTCTTAGTTAGCTATCTTTTTTTTTTTTTTTTTTTTTTTTTTGAGATATATACAAGAGTTGTTACATTCTTGTACAGCCACTAGTACGCGTAGCGTTTCGGGCAAGTCCTTAATCCTATGGTCCCTGGAATACGATCCCCTGCCGCGAAGAATCGTTTTTTCATCCAAGTACACATTTTACTGTTGCGTTAAACAGAGGCTATAGTTAAGGAATTGCGCCCAGTCAATCCTCCCCGGCCAGGATACGAACCCATGACATAGCGCTCGCGGAACGCCAGGCGAGTGTCTTACCACTACACCACGGAGACTAAGGTTCTTCTAGGGATCTAGAGCACCTGATCTACCGTGGCCTCATAAAATATGCTCTATAGCCTTACCTGTCACCATCTGACCTGACCATTCATAACCTCACCTGACCTATCATAACCTGCATCGACCTCCTGTAACCTACCATGCATGACCGGCGGTGACCTGACCTACTGTGACTTATGGGAACCTCACTTGACCTATGGTGACCTTACCTGGTATGTAATTACCTCAACTGACCAACAATGACCTTGTGTGACCTACAGTGACCTGAAAAACCACGATCTCTCCTAACTAATGCATCAGAAATTAATAGGAAATTAAAAAAAAATTAAATGCTCTCTCTTGTATTCTGGCATTTTGTATAATATTTTTTTGGAAAATTAAATTAGTTCTCTTTGATGAGATCCCTCGTTCAGGGAGTATTACTGATAAGTATTGGCAGTGGAAATGCATAAGGACATTACACATGCGTATATATGTATATATATATATATATATATATATATATATATATATATATATATATATATATATATATAATAGACCCTCAGATAACAGTCCTCATATATAGCACCTCGCATCATAACACTACGGAAATAAGCTTTATTAAACGACTGACGAAAACACATAAAAGTACTCATAAAAAAGCAATTTGACTCAAAATCTGTTTTACAGCTTAAGTGCTCCTCGCAGATTTGTGTGTGTGTGTGTGTGTGTGTGTGTGTGTGTGTGTGTGTGTGTGTGTGTGTGTGTGTGTGTGTGTGTGTGTGTGTGTGTGTGTGTGTGTGTGTGATATATTCGTACTTATATCTCTGAAACTTGGCACATCTCAGCCGGTGTATACCAAACGACGACCCCTGTTCCATTTCTTACCCATCTCTTACTTTCCCTTCCACAACCTTCCTTCAACTTTCCTCAATTTCCGTTCCCCCTTCCTTCCACTTCTACTGTTCCACTTCATATACCCATTTTCTTTCCTTTCCTATCCTTCTCTTCTCACTTTTCCACTTACCTTTCTTGTATAGAACATGTATTCCATGTAGCCTATTGTACGTCACTTTGACCCCTGTAAATGAGAAGCATAGATACAGGCAACTGGAACCATTGTAAGAAGCAGTTGAGAAGATGGGTCTATGTCCCCCCCATGAAGAGGCTAGATCCAGGGCAGACCAAGCCATTGTACCCATAAAGTAATACCTAATTATTTGAGCAAAACCACAGTAAGGATGCAAATATATATATATATACGACCCATTGCCCATACTCATTTTAGGAATCTAAATCTGTATCTAATCATTGGCCAAAATCATGGTAGAAATATTGAGCTATTTCTATATGTTAGCTAAAATCACAGGGGGGTAGAAATAGCCTAAGCTACTCTATCCCTTTGAGATGTATTTTTTTCTTGTCTCAATAAACATACTTGAACTTGAACTTGAAGCTAAAATCACAGTAGGAATGGATATATATCTCTACCATATGGCCTAAAATATGGCAGTTAGGGATATTTAGTTATACAAGGTGGACAACGCTATTGAATATATGACTAGAACAATGGTTATGAACTCTCACATCACCAGACTGCCTAAGGTAAAGTTGTCTTGTTCGAAGCTCTAATGTATTCGTACTGTGAAGTCAGAATCTCGGTAAATTTGTAATATATTTTTACCAATGTGGCCAAAGACATGGTCGACAGTGTAATATATGTGAACCATGTGGTCTAAACTTTCGATATATATATATATATATATATATATATATATATATATATATATATATATATATATATATATATATATATATATATATATATATATACTTCTACCATCTCTGGATGGATTGTACGACGCTCGACACACATAG